AATATAATTAAGACAAATTCAAACTGCATACATATGTTAGCAATATTTGTGAAAACAATTTATTTCACAAATATTGCTAACATATGTATGCAGTTTGAATTTGTCTTAATTATATTTCTAATTTTTTATATATAATAACTTCTTATTTATATTTATAGATGATTCGAATTGCCCGTTACTTTATCCTTTTTATTGTTTTGACATCGAGAACTTTGTTTATTAGTATTTATTTATAATTGTGTTACTTTTGGTTATTAAAATTTCAGGAGGTTCATTGCCCAATAGTTTCCACCATCCAGACTCTCCTAATTCATTGGTACCAGATTTGAAAAAGATGCCGCTATAATGGGACAGTGTACCAGATATGGTACCAATCCAATTTTTCTTCCTTTTTCTAAATAAAAACCAAATTTACATCGTAAATTTTAGATCTTATGTGATAATGGAAACTGTAATAGTACAAAATAAAGTACCTACACAGTCTTCTTAAATAAAAAATCCCAATTTCTGTCTACAAAAGCAGTGATATCAGACTTCCAATGAAAGTATCCTCTTCTGCTGATACCACTCGATTTTTCACGTAGATTATAAAGTGTCAAAACAATGACATTGAGCCATGGCATTCTATCTCGTACAACTGATTCTTCACCTAATGGGTTGCAAGAGGCACAATTGAGTTCGAAGAAAACATCTCCTATAAAAGAAACTGGTACGTTGCCTCTCTTTAAGCATGTTGTATGTATTCTTCTGTCGCATCCACCGCTACAACATAACGATGGATTATTATAAGGATCGCATGCTTTCCCACAATTTTTGCACTTTTCGATGCTCTCAGCTTCACTCGACTCTTGCAAATTTGTATTTTCCATATGTTTGTTAACAATTTCTGACATTTTGATCTGTAAGAACAGGAATAATTTCTGACAACAAATTTATTTACGAACAATATAATTATAAGGTATTCTATAAGTATAAAACAATATAAATATATAATAAGGGCCAACAGCCAATAATACATAAAAACGTTTCGACTCCGATCAGGTCATTTTCAATTGTTTGAATGACCTGATCGGAGTCGAAACGTATGTTTTGTTTATGTAATTTTTATATTATGATTATTAAAATTAAAACGTTTTTACATTATTGGCTCTTGGCCCTTATTATATTTATATTAAATTTATTTATTGTATAAATCTTTTTTACTTTATTTCTGATGTAGAACGGAGACTTCCTTTTTGTATAAATTCGAGATCTCTCACTCTTCTCTCAAGCATACGGTCTTTCTCTACACACGCACACACACACACACACACACACACACACACACACACACACACACACACACACACACACACACACACACACACACACACACACACACACACACACACACACACACACACATTTCACATATGAGTCAAATACATACAATTTCAAAATGCAAGAGAATTAATGAAAAAAGCTATTAAAAATAACAAAAATGTGGTGTGTTAACTAAAGATGCAATCTATCACAATCACCTCCAAAAATCAATGAAATTATTAATCGATGAATTAAAAATCGGTGTTATTCCGCATTTCCACGTGTTGTGCATCCATGTGCAAACTTCAAGTACACATGGTCCTTCCACCATAGACTTGTTCTTTTTGCCTGCACTGTCTGAACTGATGCATACAGTGCAATAAGTTGAAATGAAACAAACGTGTATCTGTTTCACTTCAACTTATTGCACTCTGTGCACTAGTTAAGTAAAAAGAGCACTCATGTGTCAGGTTCAACTTCAACCAGAGAGATCATCGTAGGATAATATCCTCATTTTTGTGGTTCTTTTCTATACTATTACGTGGAATAGACAAGGACGAATCATCAAAGTTCATCTTTGTCTAATCCACATAATAGTATAGAAGAGAACCACAAAACGTGGACATTACCTTATGAGATTTGGTACACGAAAAAAGATCAAGGTATATCGATCATAAAACTTTAACCCCTTGGATGAAAAGTAGATAAAAGTTTTATCTGGGTTTTCAGTGTAAAAATTTTTACTTTCTACTTTCCATCCTAGGGTAAAAGTTTCATGATCGATACCAGAGAGAAACCTCAACCTAGCATTACCAGAGTCATCAAAGGTTAAACTCGTACGGCAGTCAAAAGCAACACGTGGTACAACAGAATTATAAAAAAACTGCTTTACACCGGTATATAATATCTGTTTTTATTTCAAGGTCGTCTTTCAGGTTGATTATAATTAGTTTATAACGTCTTAAAATTGTATTTAAGACGGTGTTAAACACGTTCTAAGATGCTTATAAGCATCAAATTATTAAATTGCTAGGTAATTTAATTTGTGATAGTACTACCGTAATACCAGTACTGTCTATGTATATAGCATGAGCGAGTTTTTTAATTCATCGATTGCATGAATAATTGTATTATGCGCAAATGAAGCGGAACAAAATTACATTTGCGCACAATGCAATTGATCAATCGATGAATTAAAAAAACCCACCCCAGGCGATCGTCCGTATTTTAAAACGAGACAAAATTTACTATAAAATAAGCAGATTCATTTTTTTAATATTTATAATTAAATATAATAAATATATAATTAAAATATTTATAATTAAATATAATTTAAAATTTATAAATTTTATTGGTCATTCAGAGAATTTGCTCACTTTTGTAATTTTTACCTCAAGATACTCATCGATTCCCAGCGTTGTAGCTTTTCTACTATGTTATAAAAAAGTTTTTATAACAATAACGAAACTTGCATTAAAAGTTAAAAAATAGGCCCTCAAAACCTATAAAGCATTTGGTGCACAGTTTGACAAAATTCGATACGTAGTATATAAATTCATACTGAATTATAAGCACCAAAGTTTCAACCGAGAGTTTATGAGTAAGAGACTCTATTTCCTGTTGATTGTGCTTACATAATAAAACAAATACGACTATTAATTCCAGCCTTAGAGTGAATTTGTTAGAGGAAATAATCTAGGATATAGTAATGAAGCGTATATTACTCGTGTTATTACATCTCTCAATTGGCTTTTTTATTTGAGATATACAGTTTATTAATGGAATACTGTATAAAATATAGCAGCTGCAAGTTGATACTGCAAGAGATTCTCTTCAGGGTTTACTATTAGATCGTCATACTAAACATTTTCAAATTTCTATTTTGGAAAATTGTAATATTAAAGAAATTCATAAAGATTAACTTGGGGATAAAGTATCAATTGAAAACTAAGTTGAAAGAAATTTACGAACAACGAAATATTTTGTCTGTTCAATACAGTGATCCCCTTCACATTTTAGTATTTATTTACGTTAATATATGATTTTAAAGGTATAAGGTTAAATCATTTTTCATTGTTAAACCAATTACTTGATGAAGTAAAATAATCGCATTGTCAGCTGTGTATCAATAGATACATAGATGTAAATGCATTATATGATACAAAAAGTCATCATCTCGATTTTCATATGCTCGTTGCTGTGAATATAAAATGTAGATAAAATTTACTCAGTACCATATGATAGATATTCATTAAATAACAAGTACACATACGAGACTGATGTAATAAATGATGATAATGTCGTTTTCCTACTCCAAGAACAGTTCTAACATAAAAGAGTTATATTTGGTCGAGCCCGAGTCATAACCCGATTAACAATATATCTCGCGTATTTGCGATAGATAAAAGAAATTTCTCGCAGGTCTTGTAAAATAACTAGTCTTGTAAGATAATTGGTTTTTAATTAAATGCAGGTACTTTTCCTGCACGCGCGTGACGCGTGCTTTACGAGTTCTTACTTTTCACAACTAATAGAGCCTTTTCTCATAGGAGAATAAGCTGTGTACATTGCCCTCCTGTTGAGCCGAATGCGTCCTTCTTTCAAATTTTAATTCCCCGCTGTACATCATAGATCGCAAAGAGGTGAGCGACCTTGCTCCGATATCTTGACAACTGTGCTTGATACCACAAGTCAAATAAGGCAGAAATTTAAGGACCGAGCCTTTATCCACTATCGATCCGCTGACACCTTGAGCTACTTTCAGTTTGTCCATTTCATTGTGAAAATACCTATCCATCGCCGAACCTTTGGCGTCCTTTCTGTTCATTGCTTCCAACGAGCCCATCCCTCTGTACTTTTTCAGACGAACTCCGTCGCTGAAGAAATACTCGCCCGGAGCCTCGGATGTTCCGGCTAAGAGAGAACCCATCATAACTGTACTAGCGCCTAAGCTAAGACCTTTGATAATGTGGCCGATAGACTGAATACCACCATCCGCGATGACGGGTATTCCAAATTTTCTAGCGTACTCGGAAACCTTGTAGACGGCTGTCGCTTGTGGCCGTCCTACAGCCATTACCTCTTGCGTTATGCAAATAGATCCAGAGCCCATTCCAACGCGTAACGCATCAGCTCCTGCCTCTATAAGATTCTTGGCTTGCCTCGTAGTCACGACATTGCCAGCAATCACTTGTAAATTTGGATACTGCGTCTTGATATACCTGATCATGTCGATCTGATACAATGAATTGCCCTGTGATGAATCCAACACCACTACGTCCACGCCAGCCGCCACGAGCAATTCCAATCGGTGTTTGTCCGCATCTCGCGTTCCTATTGCGGCTCCTACCAACAGCTGCTTATTCTCGTCCTTGCTAGCGTTTGGATAACTACGGTTTTTCTTTAAATCGGTCCTCGCCATCAGAGACACAAGTTCGCCCCGTTCATTGACGATGGGGAGCTTCCCTTTTTTGGACTTTTCCAATATAACATTTGCCTCTTGCAATGTCACGCCAGCTGGTGCGGTGATTAGATCTTCCAAAGTTGTCATTATAGAGTTAAGTGATTTATGTTGATAATCGGGCAAACGTTCAAGGAAGTCAATGTCTCTCGAGGTAACGATGCCTAGCAGTTTACCACCGACTTTACCCGTGTCTGTCACCGGCACTCCGCTAAAACCATGCTCAGCCTTGACGTTTAAAACATCGTTGACGGTGTGATGTGGTGCCAATACAACTGGATCTCTGATAAAGCCATGCTTGTACTTTTTTACCTGTAAACAAGAGTGTATTTATGTAGTACAAGTTTTAAAGCTAATTATACAACAAATTGGTAGTCTGTAGTATTAGAAGTTGGCCACTGACCAACTTTACTGATTCACCGTCCTTCAGACAGTCGCTTCCGACTCACTGATTACAGATTACTGATTTATAGAATAAGGATAACACCCAACATTTAATACAGTCTACACGAATTACGTACAATAAGGTAAAACATTTGTACTTTAAACATTGCTATGGAAATTTAAATTATATAATACATGTACATCGCGTTAAATTCGTTTTCACGAGTACTCCAAAATGATCACGTCGAAGAAAAAATATATTACCTTGTGCACTTCATTGGCTTGATATTCTGTGGTACAATTATGATGTATAATGCCGATCCCGCCGGACAGGGCCATAGCTATAGCCATGTCAGACTCGGTAACGGTGTCCATCGGCGAAGACACGAGAGGTGCCTTCAACGTGACTTTCCTGGTTAAAGGTGAGAGTAGATCGACCTCGTCCGCCGTGAAATCGATGTAGCCGGGAAATATGATGAAGTCGTTGTAAGTAAGGCCATCACCTGCGGCAAATAACTGCGCCGCCGACAAGCCATCGTCCGGTAGTGGTACATCCTTTATATCGCCCAGTACATAATCTGCCATAATTTGAGATTATCGTCCCCTTGCTCTTTAGTCACGTTAATTGCGAGGAAATAAGCTTCTTCGAAAGAGAACACTCAAAGCCAGAGAGTACTACAAGAGCACGTGTGCTGACGTATGCACCGCAAGTGCTGTGCAGACTGCAGCAGTGTGCACGTGCGTACCAGCGATGCTCACAGAGCTCACAGCCGGGTGGGATCATTCAGGAATGCTCGGAACTCGGAGTCATAAGATATATATGTATGTATGTATATGTATATATATATATATATATATATATAATTAGATAGTCTTCCTTCTTAGACACTAGCGTCTCTCAACTTGGAGGGCATACACATTACTACATTCCTTTCTTTTTTACTATCGATAAAAGCTTGTTTGTTGAAAATTCATTATCTTATTATGATACAACAAACGATAACTTACCAATGATTCATATATGTATTATATGCAAATAGTTTTATCCTTCAAGTTTAGAGGTGCTGGTGTCTACTTTTCAATATGGCGACGCCCATGCGTTACACAATAACAATAGATCCAATAAACAGATTAGGAACAGAAAACATAATGCGAGGCAACAGCGATAGCGATAGAAACAGAATAAACGATGCACATAGCGACACTGGGATAAGACAATAGCGATAAATTTCCGAATAATTGGAATTCTATGTTTATCGTCTTATATCCCAGTTTAACGTTTTAGATTTTTCATTTTGTTTGTATACGCAATAATCTTGAAGCAGATGAAAAAGTATAATACAGTCTATACGCGATCAGATGGTGGGTATCTTTGGTTTTATTTCTTTTGCATAAACATTATGCAAAGGGAAACAACAATTATATTACTTATTATACTATTCCTATCGCTGTTACTTCGCATTTTTGTGTTTAGGACTTTACTTTTTTGTCTCGATCGCTGAAACAATGATCGTGAAGACTTAAGAAATAAAGATAAACAAAGACGAGGGATAATATCTTTTTTTAACCGTTTCGAATTATAATTAAAAGTAAGAAAAAGGAGCATATACCACACGCTGGTTCTAAGTAGCGAAAATATATAGTGTATTTAATTTATAAATTATAAACGTATTTATTATAAACGTATTTAATTATATTATAATTATAAACGTATTTAAATTAAACGTATTTAATTATAAACGTTTTATAATTATGTAATTTAGTATTATTAAATATACTATATTTTCGCTACTTAGAATCAGCGTATGGTATATGCTCCTTTTTCTTACTTTTATTTTTAACTTACTTGATCTTTAAATTATAATTAATTTTATATTATTGTTTTTATTGCAAAACATGTCGAAATTGCTTTGTTTTCCTATTTCGCGTTATTTAAATAAAAATCTACGGTTGCAATAGCGATATATGTATATAATTATATGTATATGATATATAAACTGTATGTATACAATATACATTTGTAAGAAATATCATTCTGCATAAAGATATAGAGAATTCGCCAAGATAGAAGGTATACACAATTCGTGAAAATATTGCAAAAACGATATTGTAGGATTCATGCCTATTTTACAATAGGATCGTAAGCCGTAAGAAATTGGCCAATCACAGTAGAATATGATAAAAATAATCGACTATATAATTGATTGATTTCTTACGACTTACTATTCTATTGTAAAACAAATTTCAATTCTACATAATTAAGGTGCGTACAAACGATCAGTCAAGGATGAGTGACGAAACACGTTAAAGACACGTGGATTTGAATAATTTAACATTTCTCACATTACAAACGCTGAAAACGACACAGATTATAAAACACTTAATATGGATTTTTACAGACATGACCAACTATCTATCAAGAATTTATCAAAAGTCAAAGATTACCGCTTTCGACCAAATCTTACTGGCCGTAATAGAATCGTAGTCAAGACATCGGTAACTCCATCGAGAGCTTCTCCAAATAACGATGTGATGTATTGGAACATTAGTTCGAGATAATTCGTGTTCTCATCGTTGTATTCCTCCTCAAAGAAATAGTCGTACATCATAGGCAAAAATATTACCGCGACATAGAACGCGACACACAGCAGTGCTAATAGAATATATTATGAACATCAAGTTGAAGAACAGAGAATAAATTATATATACAATTAATGTCTCCCTTTTTTTATCAATGCAATTTAATCTCGATTTAATTTATTGTACTCTTTCTTTTTCTAATTTTTATAATTAGAAAAAGATAAATTAAACAGAGGTTTATGTTTATCTGCATTGACAGAGATGGACTTATAGAATTAAATTAATCGAAAGAATTAAGTATAGCTTTTGTTAAGGGAGTGAACGAAAGACACATTGTACCTACGGCTCGATGTCCAAGCAACCGTTTATTCGCTTGTTTCACCCTTTGTCGTTGAACCTTCATCAATCTTTCATCATCAGTCACCCGAGTCGAATCTTGAAGCGCTGTATTGATCATGCAAGAGAGGACGGAGCATTGTCGTAACGTTTGAGATTCGGGTAGATGATGCTCATTTAAACATTCTTCTTTTTCTTTCGCATTATCTGGCTCCATTTTACACCGGAGTTTCCAGAAATACTCCCAATAATTTTTGTTCAACAGCTCTTGAGTCTCCAAGGGAATGGAGAAGGGCTTCTCAAATGAATTTCTCATTCGTAGATTCATTAACGAACGAGAATTCATTCGATCTTGTTTCGACGTGTCGTACTTTACTAATAAAGAATTCGTGCTGTTTATTCCGTTTCTTTCGCGCAACGATTGACTTATTTTGGAACGATGGCGGCTCTTTTTGTATCGTTTACCTTTAATGCCGCGATAACCAGGTAGGATCAGAGTACAGTCGGAATCTGTAATCGCGAAACGGGATTTCTTCCGAAGGAATGACTTTGCCTTTCTTGACAGATTTATCGGTGCCGCTTTACGTTTCACGTTAATGCGCAGCTCTCTCTCCCCATGCTTTTCCTTCTTACTCTCTTTCTTCTTGTTACTTTTGTCATATTCTTTATCGCCAGCTTGGCTAAAGGCCGAACTTTTATCTAATACTTGGTCATTTATTACGTTTGTCCAAGGCTTATCTGCATTGTTTCGATCGCCCTTTACGTGATACGCCAGCTTTTGTGTCTCCGTATTTACATAAGAATGCATCGATGTTTTTGCCATCTTTCTTTCGCTCGATTTTGACATCTCTCTCTCGTTCTTTTCTCCGTTCGCGATACAAGAGTCTATCACGTAGCTTTGACCAACGAAATTTTTCGATCTTGCAGCGATATTTAAATTTGAGTAATTTAAACTTTTACCATTGTTGACGCCATCGGCATTATTTAATTCTAACACATCGAAGTTTCCACGATTGTTATCGAGCGTAATATTCTTTGCAATATTTTGACTGAACGATGTGACATTTTTCTTCGCGCCTATTTCCCGCTCGGAAGTGTGATGTTCTCCACAATTCTTGGAAATACTTTTGTTCTTCGAGATATCATCGTTACTTTTTGCGTTATAACGTTCAATATCTAAAAACAGCAAAATTTCGATCGTTCTTGTATTGTCAATGAGCAATATAAATATTAAATTGAAAATGATTTTGTGACTTCAAGAATAATTATTCTTGATTTGATTTAAATCAAATATAAGTAAAATATCTGATATGAGTCCCAGCGATTATTGATGCGTGTAAACACAATATATTTATAATCCGCACTGAGAAAGACTCAAAGATCTGAGAATTCAAAATCGAAACGTTTGCGGTCAACTTTGTTGCTATAAATGCGTCGCGATTGTTCGCGAATTAAAGCTTTATAAACATATATATTATTATATTTACGTATTAATCGTGAATACTCATATTGGAATTTTATTTATATTTTATTGAAATAATAAAATTCATTACTATCAAGTGGATATTTTTCATTCTTAGACTCCCTGAAGCTATACATCGAACTGGTATTCTTCGTCAATCCTGTACAAATATTCTCGACAATTTCTTGCCCTTTCTTACTGTCATTTTCGCACACAGACGACATTTGAACATCTTTTTCCATTTGCGTAGGCACACTTGATATTTGTAAAGGTATATCGCGATATGCGACTACAGGAATTTGAACGTTGTAACACTGCAGTGACTGCGCGGACGCAGTTTCTACGTTAACAGGATTGACAGGTAGCGCGTGTATCCTCTTCTCATTAACCATTAAAAACAGCGGCCTATTAGTCTCCTAAGAGACATAAATATACGATAAAAGCCTGCTTTTAATATGGAATGCTAATCATAACGCACGATCGCAAACTGAAACCTTGCATACTTTTTCCTGTTCTTGAGAAAATCTGTTTCCAACGTCATATCGCTCGTTAGTCGCATACTGCAAGGCTGAAATCAATTTGCAATTAAAATTGACTCTAAATTAAGTTAATTGAATACGCAATCGTTTCACGACATAACAATTTTGTATAATTACTTGAACAATGTTTCGCTTCTAAAATGGATTGCTCATCAACAGGATAATCGGTGATCTTGTTCGCCGATTTTGTAGTATTTGATAATAAATTATCTGCAAGCTTTTCAGTTCCTTGCGTGACACGTGTGTCTAACTTTGGCGTTTGTTCATCGTTTTTTGTGGCATAAAATTCATCTGGTTTCTCAGCCTTTTGCCGCGATATCTGTCTACGTTTCATAACAAATCGTATTGGTATGACATGTTAACGAAACGAAACAGATAAAAATATATTAAAATAATGATATTTGAGGAGACACAATATAAATATATGTCTGTATGTGACTTATACATATTATAGAGAGCTGATTTGCTATAAAATCATGAATTATACGTAATCTAAAAACGTAAATCTAAGATAAAGTATATTATCTTGGAAAAATTAATGCCTTCTGAAACGAGGATCAGAACAGCTAGGCAGTCTTTTCGGTATATGTGTGATTGTTTCGCATCCTTGATTTAATCTGGATTTGAGGTGTCTAAAAAAAGAAAAGTAAGAAAGGAAAAATATAGGAAATGCAGCGATACTCTTATCCTCATTGTGACACCAAAGTTATATAATTTACATACAGCAATTTGTCATGTAATTATTTAGCAAGCGATATCTGAAATGCTTGAAACTTACCGACTTGCAACAGTTTGGACTATATTACGACCTTTTCTAGGACTTTCTGTCAAAGTGATCACACATGGAGGTTCAATAATGTCATCGATATTGTTACTTGGATGACGTGGAGGTATTTTAGGCCAAGATGGATCGGAAGGAATCCTAATATTAAGGATACATATGATGGTAACACACAAAAAAGATTGAACGATATCTTATTTACTTAATAATATAATAGTATGTATAATTGTATACCGTAATGTGCCGGTATTAGACTTTTCCGAAATTGCTGATAAATTTTGCTCATTTACTAAAAATATAACATATTAAAAATATTAAGATTATATGTACTATTGTTTTTCCATAGAATATTTTCTATTCTTACCTTTTATGTGCAATTCGAGTGTATTTGTTTGGTTATCGCGTGCCATGTCACGAAATAATATAAGTGTGAATATTTCTTTATATATTGCGCCGCTATTTCAGTAAATCGGAACTTGATACATTAGCCTAAAAAGTTGTATGTACGAGGCACGATTGTGTCAATTCATGTCAATTACATGTTTCTTCAATATCGAACACTGTTTTTTATGCACCCGAATTATAAATTTTGTTTGTCGAGATTCACTTGTCTTGGGAATTATTTTTTTTTTATTATCGCTCAAATATGAATGGATATAGTAGATATACCATAAATGAAATCGTTAAGGATTATATTTTATTATCACATAATTTTTATATAATATGTATACAACTTTAAATTTAATTTTAGAACATAATATTTACACCAAATATACAATAGACATAGTTATAGCCAGTCTTGGGTTTCAATAGAGAGAGAAAATGTGAAATGTTTTTTTTTTTAATTTTGAATACAAGATTACGCGAACAATTTACAACATCCGAACGTTAGCAAATGTCTCTATCGTGGTGGAATCAGATTTCACCATGATTTCTATAATGAACATGATCGAAAAGTACCGAAAAATACGTTTCGATTGGTGTGCGACTTTAACGCACAAATTCAATTTCAAGTCTGGTTATAACATTACAGGAACGATGAATTACTATTTACTCGAAATTCTTTTAATAGATCGCATTATACTATACTCTAAGATATATTTACGCAACATTATTATTTATTGTTATATCACATCACATCATTAATTTAACATTGCAACTGCCCTTTCGTTTGATCTTTTTAATAATTTTTTTTCTTTTGCTTTAAAGATGTTGCTTTCTTACAAACGTGTTTTCTCTTTGAAATATGTATATGTTCTTTGTCTCTTTACAAATAATTATCCCGCTGCTCAAATTTCTCCAATAATGTACTCTAGCATAGATATATGTATATACAATTTTTAAAGACATTTTAAAGACAAAGTCGGAAATTGTAACATTTTTAATAAAAATACGACGTAGCGTAATGCGTCGTTTAATTGAATGAGATCAGTCGACATGTATATCAATTCTTTAAAAGCCGAATACGAATGTTTCGATTTTCAATTGTATACCATGGATAAAAGATGTGAAATGTAAGTTTAATGATTACATTGGACAGCGGTGCACCATATTCCATCTCACAATGTTTTCGCCTTCATTTGTTCGAATAATTAATTCGAAGAATTAAACTAATCTATTACAAAATTTTGAAATTAGTAAACAGTTTACATCGCAGTTTACGATACTCGTTTTACTCATGTATCTTATCTACAGCTTGTTAATATTTGAACACATAGTGAATTATTGGTCATTCAGAGAATTTGCTCACTTTTGTAATTTTTACCTCAAGATACTCATCGATTCCCAGCGTTGTAGCTTTTCTACTATGTTATAAAAAAGTTTTTATAACAATAACGAAACTTGCATTAAAAGTTAAAAAATAGGCCCTCAAAACCTATAAAGCATTTGGTGCACAGTTTGACAAAATTCGATACGTAGTATATAAATTCATACTGAATTATAAGCACCAAAGTTTCAACCGAGAGTTTATGAGTAAGAGACTCTATTTCCTGTTGATTGTGCTTACATAATAAAACAAATACGACTATTAATTCCAGCCTTAGAGTGAATTTGTTAGAGGAAATAATCTAGGATATAGTAATGAAGCGTATATTACTCGTGTTATTACATCTCTCAATTGGCTTTTTTATTTGAGATATACAGTTTATTAATGGAATACTGTATAAAATATAGCAGCTGCAAGTTGATACTGCAAGAGATTCTCTTCAGGGTTTACTATTAGATCGTCATACTAAACATTTTCAAATTTCTATTTTGGAAAATTGTAATATTAAAGAAATTCATAAAGATTAACTTGGGGATAAAGTATCAATTGAAAACTAAGTTGAAAGAAATTTACGAACAACGAAATATTTTGTCTGTTCAATACAGTGATCCCCTTCACATTTTAGTATTTATTTACGTTAATATATGATTTTAAAGGTATAAGGTTAAATCATTTTTCATTGTTAAACCAATTACTTGATGAAGTAAAATAATCGCATTGTCAGCTGTGTATCAATAGATACATAGATGTAAATGCATTATATGATACAAAAAGTCATCATCTCGATTTTCATATGCTCGTTGCTGTGAATATAAAATGTAGATAAAATTTACTCAGTACCATATGATAGATATTCATTAAATAACAAGTACACATACGAGACTGATGTAATAAATGATGATAATGTCGTTTTCCTACTCCAAGAACAGTTCTAACATAAAAGAGTTATATTTGGTCGAGCCCGAGTCATAACCCGATTAACAATATATCTCGCGTATTTGCGATAGATAAAAGAAATTTCTCGCAGGTCTTGTAAAATAACTAGTCTTGTAAGATAATTGGTTTTTAATTAAATGCAGGTACTTTTCCTGCACGCGCGTGACGCGTGCTTTACGAGTTCTTACTTTTCACAACTAATAGAGCCTTTTCTCATAGGAGAATAAGCTGTGTACATTGCCCTCCTGTTGAGCCGAATGCGTCCTTCTTTCAAATTTTAATTCCCCGCTGTACATCATAGATCGCAAAAAGGTGAGCGACCTTGCTCCGATATCTTGACAACTGTGCTTGATACCACAAGTCAAATAAGGCAGAAATTTAAGGACCGAGCCTTTATCCACTATCGATCCGCTGACACCTTGAGCTACTTTCAGTTTGTCCATTTCATTGTGAAAATACCTATCCATCGCCGAACCTTTGGCGTCCTTTCTGTTCATTGCTTCCAACGAGCCCATCCCTCTGTACTTTTTCAGACGAACTCCGTCGCTGAAGAAATACTCGCCCGGAGCCTCGGATGTTCCGGCTAAGAGAGAACCCATCATAACTGTACTAGCGCCTAAGCTAAGACCTTTGATAATGTGGCCGATAGACTGAATACCACCATCCGCGATGACGGGTATTCCAAATTTTCTAGCGTACTCGGAAACCTTGTAGACGGCTGTCGCTTGTGGCCGTCCTACAGCCATTACCTCTTGCGTTATGCAAATAGATCCAGAGCCCATTCCAACGCGTAACGCATCAGCTCCTGCCTCTATAAGATTCTTGGCTTGCCTCGTAGTCACGACATTGCCAGCAATCACTTGTAAATTTGGATACTGCGTCTTGATATACCTGATCATGTCGATCTGATACAATGAATTGCCCTGTGATGAATCCAACACCACTACGTCCACGCCAGCCGCCACGAGCAATTCCAATCGGTGTTTGTCCGCATCTCGCGTTCCTATTGCGGCTCCTACCAACAGCTGCTTATTCTCGTCCTTGCTAGCGTTTGGATAACTACGGTTTTTCTTTAAATCGGTCCTCGCCATCAGAGACACAAGTTCGCCCCGTTCATTGACGATGGGGAGCTTCCCTTTTTTGGACTTTTCCAATATAACATTTGCCTCTTGCAATGTCACGCCAGCTGGTGCGGTGATTAGATCTTCCAAAGTTGTCATTATAGAGTTAAGTGATTTATGTTGATAATCGGGCAAACGTTCAAGGAAGTCAATGTCTCTCGAGGTAACGATGCCTAGCAGTTTACCACCGACTTTACCCGTGTCTGTCACCGGCACTCCGCTAAAACCATGCTCAGCCTTGACGTTTAAAACATCGTTGACGGTGTGATGTGGTGCCAATACAACTGGATCTCTGATAAAGCCATGCTTGTACTTTTTTACCTGTAAACAAGAGTGTATTTATGTAGTACAAGTTTTAAAGCTAATTATACAACAAATTGGTAGTCTGTAGTATTAGAAGTTGGCCACTGACCAACTTTACTGATTCACCGTCCTTCAGACAGTCGCTTCCGACTCACTGATTACAGATTACTGATTTATAGAATAAGGATAACACCCAACATTTAATACAGTCTACACGAATTACGTACAATAAGGTAAAACATTTGTACTTTAAACATTGCTATGGAAATTTAAATTATATAATACATGTACATCGCGTTAAATTCGTTTTCACGAGTACTCCAAAATGATCACGTCGAAGAAAAAATATATTACCTTGTGCACTTCATTGGCTTGATATTCTGTGGTACAATTATGATGTATAATGCCGATCCCGCCGGACAGGGCCATAGCTATAGCCATGTCAGACTCGGTAACGGTGTCCATCGGCGAAGACACGAGAGGTGCCTTCAACGTGACTTTCCTGGTTAAAGGTGAGAGTAGATCGACCTCGTCCGCCGTGAAATCGATGTAGCCGGGAAATATGATGAAGTCGTTGTAAGTAAGGCCATCACCTGCGGCAAATAACTGCGCCGCCGACAAGCCATCGTCCGGTAGTGGTACATCCTTTATATCGCCCAGTACATAATCTGCCATAATTTGAGATTATCGTCCCCTTGCTCTTTAGTCACGTTAATTGCGAGGAAATAAGCTTCTTCGAAAGAGAACACTCAAAGCCAGAGAGTACTACAAGAGCACGTGTGCTGACGTATGCACCGCAAGTGCTGTGCAGACTGCAGCAGTGTGCACGTGCGTACCAGCGATGCTCACAGAGCTCACAGCCGGGTGGGATCATTCAGGAATGCTCGGAACTCGGAGTCATAAGATATATATGTATGTATGTATATGTATATATATATATATATATATATATAATTAGATAGTCTTCCTTCTTAGACACTAGCGTCTCTCAACTTGGAGGGCATACACATTACTACATTCCTTTCTTTTTTACTATCGATAAAAGCTTGTTTGTTGAAAATTCATTATCTTATTATGATACAACAAACGATAACTTACCAATGATTCATATATGTATTATATGCAAATAGTTTTATCCTTCAAGTTTAGAGGTGCTGGTGTCTACTTTTCAATATGGCGACGCCCATGCGTTACACAATAACAATAGATCCAATAAACAGATTAGGAACAGAAAACATAATGCGAGGCAACAGCGATAGCGATAGAAACAGAATAAACGATGCACATAGCGACACTGGGATAAGACAATAGCGATAAATTTCCGAATAATTGGAATTCTATGTTTATCGTCTTATATCCCAGTTTAACGTTTTAGATTTTTCATTTTGTTTGTATACGCAAT